CAAAGACCACTTCCTCCGACTCCAACATCGCTCCCAAAGAATCAAAAGAAATTCCAAAAACAATGTCAGAAGACATTGCCATCTCATCCGATGAAAAGCCAAAAGATAGCAAATCCGAGACCAAACCGGAAGACAAATCAAAAACCGATCATTCATTGGATAAGACATTTACAAAGTGGTCCTCTGCGGTCAAACCACACGAATCCAGTGCTAAGACAGTGGAGAGTAAAGTGAAGCCATTAGAAGAGGCGTCTGTTGATGTCGTGCGACCACAAGGGGGTGATGGAGATGGAGGACAGGATGGCAACAGACGACATACACTCATGGCTAGTGTGGTAGTGATGGCCATTGTCTTTGTCATCGCTATTGGTATCGTCCTCTTCAGACATTAAGCACACAATTGGCCAACAAATTGAAGGCATATTCTGTGGAAATGTTATCTAAAGATTTGAAAGAAATTTTGAAATAAATATTAGACATAAACTTAAATTGACAATAAATTTGGTTTTTTCATGTCAATTTAAATCTTTTAAATTGAAATATTTTAGAATAGATATTACTTACTCGTTAGTAAATATATATAAAAAACACAAAATTTACTCGATGTTTTTAACGTTAAAATTGTTTTATTGATTAATATAAAAATTAAGTTTACAGTTTTAAACTTATACTCAAATTCAAGTATAGTTATTTTAGCAAAGGGTGGTGGTGGGGAGTAGAATAGTCTAGCGGTTAGAGTGTCGCACTAACAATAGCTAAGTTAAGGTTAATCAATAGGAAGTGTATAGGGGGACATGAGATCGCGCCCCAAGCGGGGAAAAATTAATTTTTATTAAAAGTTTGTTAAAAAGTTTTGAAGAACTTTATATATATAAAACTTTTTTGTAATAAAAGATGTTCAATTGAGTAAATAATCATATCTTACAGTAATGATCGCATGTTTTTGACTCATTGAATGAATTTTTGTTTGTATTTAGTCTTATCACATTATATAATTTAAAACTTTTTAAAATAATTAATGAATGTCATATTCTAGTAGAATAATTCTACTATTATATCTTTGTTAATGAAGTTTTCGGCATAATGTTAATACCGTACTATTTACTTTACTATTTTAAACTTTCAATTATAATTTGTAACAAAAAAGTTACATTAAACTTCATAAGAAAATATTTAATAATTCAGATATTGGTTCAAGTACAGTAATATCAATAATAATCGATTACTTTAATGTTTAGTTATAAATGTTTTCGATTCTTTGTTCTGTGGGTATAATTGTGTTGAGTATTGATTCCTAATGCTATGAAAGAATTAGAAATTTCAGAATAATTATAAAAATAAATTCATATATAAAATACAAACTCACTTCTCATCAATATTACTCATGAAATTAATGTCTATTTTTTCGATATCTATTTTATGTTCAATAAGACGCCCAAAAAGTCTAACTCCGAACTCGATATCAACTTTATTTATTTGTCCCAAATTTTTGTCGGATGTATACAACTGGGTGTACAGATAGCTAGATCTAAAGCCTAGCCAGGGTCCTTCAAATTTAATAGTCGTGTTTGCATTCACTTTGACACTCAATTTATTGAGACCCGGGTTCTGGTTAACATAAACCTTTCATTCATAGTATTAAATATTTTTGTTAAATAAGTTGAGAATAAAAATATTTTTGTTTCATATTTACGACAATCTGATAGTGAAAGAGACAAAACGGATGCGCGTCGGATGTCCTCATAAAATAATTATTGGGAAACGTTTGCAAAGCCTTCACGGGATTAGTATTTGTCTCATTCATCCAATACTCCAAATTAAAGCCCAGTGGACGACATTTGTCTCCATTAGCCCCACAGTCACCACATTTTCCAGAATAAAAATTTTCATAACTATCGCACCGGTAGGCTATCAATTGGCAACTGTCAGGACTCCGCAAACTTCTATCAGCTATTAGTAATACAGGAACCCTTTGGTGGTTACAATCACCAGCTAATGAACACAATTTTGTTGTTGATAATTATTAATTAAGTCAATTTTATTAAATGATAAACATTTTACTAATCTATGTTTAATCACAATACGTTTAAATGCGTTCTTGATTTGAGTGAAAACATTGTTATCGCAACCAGACTGTCCCGTCCCTACCGGTAATGCATTGTATTTAATTAAAATAATTTATTTTGAAAACAGTTAGCAAGACCTCCGTTTGGCCAGAAATCATAGTGTCCGAGGGGGTCAACATTTCCGAGATAACCGCTCAGTTGAATCGACAGTCCATCCCCACCTTTCATGTAAATCTAATGCTATTATATTACGTTATATATTGAATAAATTGTACAATTTATACCCCATTTAACGAGACCACCGCTTGTATGAGTGACCACTACTAGGGAGGCGTCTGTAGGCGCCAATCGGGTCAGTGAGTCGTTGCGCAAAAATCCCAAACCCGCCGGATCTAAGCCAGAGATGTACGCGATCTTAGGGTTTGTAAAATGTTTGCCACAAAATCCCATTATATGTGCCCCAAGACTATGACCCACCAAATGAATGTCT